CACACACCGACACGAGTGTAACACATATATAGAACGACACGCATACCGACATGTGCATAACACATATATAGAACGACACACACACCGACATGTGGATAACACATATACAGAACGACACACAGACCGACACGAGTGTAACGCATATATAGAACGACACACACACCGACATGTGCATAACACATATATAGAACGACACACAGACCGACACGAGTGTAACACATATATAGAACGACACACACACCGACATGTGGATAACACATATATAGAACGACACACAGACCGACATGTGGATAACACATATATAGAACAATACACACACCGATAGGTCGATAACACATATACAGAACGACATACACACCGACATGTGGATAACATATATATCGAACGACTCACAGACGCGCCATGCGGATAACACATTTATACAACTATAATCTTTTTACTTGAAACACAAATTCACATTTAGGTAGATAGACAAAGAGACAGTAGGTAGGTAGGTAGGTAGGTAGGTAGGTAGGTAGGTAGGTAGGTAGGTAGGTAGGTAGGTAGGTAGGTAGGTAGGTAGGTAGGTAGGTAGGTACAACTGTCTTACGACTCTTATCAAGAGAGCATACGCCAGTCACACCGTAACTCAAATCTCTTATCAGAAGACGTCCAGGGTGTATTGACGTAATGCTTCAAATAACTGTCAGTGTCAGTAAATTACTCCTATTTGGTCAACTCGTTTACACTGACACATAATTTACAATTCTCCTGCTCACACTCCTTATCGGGAGATCCGAAAACAGAACAACGCAGTTGCGAGTAAGTATAGTAACATAATACGAAGTTCATTCATCCGTAAATATAAACCAACATTTTCACCACGCCTTAAAAGGAATTCTTACTAATACGTTCTGTGATTGATTACTGCGGGTTATTGAATCGAACATAGTACTTCCCGCTTGTTGATAACGTACGGCTATCAAAAGCCATATTTGGATCTGCTGGCGGGCGTGTCGCGTCACGTGGTCGTGTCCTATTATATCGTGCAGGTAAGGCCAGACCAATTATATTTCTTGTTTTACGGATCCGCAGGTAGTATTCTTTTTCAAAAATAAGAAGAAAAAAATAAAAATGAATTTTCCCCGCTCAAAAAATAAATCCTAATGTTTTCATTGGCCAAAAATGTAAACATACAAGAAATTTTGTTGTTAGTTTTTTGCCCCTTATACACTTCATAGATTGCCAAAAGTACCATACTTTGAGTATTTAGAAGGAATATTACTTTGGTGATTTTATTTTTATCTTTTTTCCCTCCTGCCTTTAGGTTTTCTGAGGACAAAAATCCGTAAAACAAAAAAATAAAACTGGTCTGGCCTAAGCAAAGGTAAGCTGCGACATTCGCTGAACCGACAGCACTGGTGTAAGGAGTGTGTTATCGCATATCTCGGGACCTGGCTAATCTCTATTTATCGCCTTATATGGGTGTAACTATTCAATAATATGCGGCAATTGTAGCATATCTGTAATTTAATATTCTCGCTGTTCAAAACAGCTGTAAAGGTATATTATCGAAAGTCATTGACCAAGTTCACTTTCTGTAACCTCTTGAAACATTTTTTTCCACATCATTCCAGTCAACATTTCTTATTCCCCCTAACTTTCTTCTCAAAGCCCATGTTTGTGTTTAATAGAAATGGGGTATTAATGTAACCGGAAAGAAATATTATTACTGCGTAGAGCATTTCAATGTATAAAATGCATTCGGGTGTTTCCGGAATCTCCCGAAAGTAACCGAGTGTAAACAATTTGTGGAATTCAATGCAATGGCTATTTTTAACGCTTGTCCTTGCTCCATGTCAACACAGGTATGGCCACAGGTCAGCTGCTTTCCTGGTCAACATGATCTAATAGCCAGCTGAACACAAATTGTCATGCACTGGTGCACTGAAAAGCTTTTAGATTAAATTTTAATAAAAAAATTTATTGACACCCTATATGGGGCGGCTTATTTTTTTTAGGACGTTTTCCTATCTCACCCGATCAGTTTTGTTATCAAGCATTTTATATTTGTATTTTCAGAAACAAAACTTGGATAAGATTATTCAACCAAAACATAAATTATGGCTTATGTGTTAGAAAATCAATAAATAAATACATAAATATTATATCTATCATTTAACACGCATGACACATTGACTTATACATGATGATATTGGGCAGTTTTGGGGATATTTACTTTGTATCTCATTTGTCAACTGGTGTAACGTGAAACTTTGTCTTCTTAAAAGACGATCATAACATTCACAATTATACGTGACTTCATGGCTAGAATCGTTACATTCGTAAACACTTCGAAACCTCGCATTCTTTTCGCCAAGTCGAAGCGCCATCTGACAGATATCGCAGAAGCAAATGGAGAGTTATCCGCTCTTTGCAACTGTACTTAAACCCTGCTCAACAAAATAAACAAACATATTTCGAACACAGACACATGTGCCGGCTTTCGTTATCTCAGGATGCATTGAGCTGCACTGGTATTAGTTTGTACATTTTGTCAACTTGACTAGCCCACTTCCCTCTTCATTATGCAATGACGACAAAAAATAATCAATATTCTAAAAATATTCACCTGTACTTACGTTGCCATTTAACACGGAATGGTTCGTTTAGTCAGGACATATGTTTCCATGGTAACGGGCGTATAGACAGAATGTAGACACATACGGTATATTGGCTGTATCAGGTTATCATTATTTTGGAAGATTCAAGAATAGAAATATACTATCATTGGCAATATGCTATTAGGAGAATGTGAAAGATGCAGGACATATTTATATTTCGTCAACTCTAAGGTTGACGTGATACCTGTCAGGAGTGAGCAGTGGCGGATCCAGAGGGGGGATTCAGGGGGTTCGAACCCCCCTTAAAAATGACTGAAGATCACATTGAAGATTTTTTTTTGCGTTGGCAAAGCAAATGGGGGTTCAGGGGTTTAAACCCCTGAACCCCCTCCTTTCTAAATTCCTGGATCCGCCCATGAGAGAGTGAGTGAGTTTAGTTTTACGCCGCTTACCCGGGTGTTCGGTATGACGAGGGAACGCTTTATCCACTTGGCTACCCCACCGCCCCTGATACCTGTCAGGAACAGCTCCAGACAGTGCATGCAATATACTTGCTCTTCTCTGAATATTTGACGGCACCAATTCACAGGCTAAGTGTTGCTATAGTAATGGACCCCGTTATAACATCATGCAGCATTTCCTTGTTGTTTCCTCAATATTTGGGAGTTTTACCCAATGCTTGAAGTGCCTGTAATGTGTCACCCCAAATGCCATATCCTCCCGTACAGGCGGGTACCATGGTTACTGCAGGTTACAGAGGCTTGTTTTGTCTAAGGTGCAAGTCATCTGATGGGGTTGTGTATTCTGATACAACAAATTACGCATATCCATTGCATAGGTTCAGTTGATATAGTAAATATTAAAAAGCTTGACAGAAATGTGATACAGACCCAATGGCGGATCCATCGGGATGTGTGTGTGTGTGTGTGTGTGTGCGTGTGTGCGTGCGTGCGTGTGTGTGTGTGTGTGTGTGTGTGTGTGTGTGTTTCAGGAGGGTCAAACCACCCCCACCCACCCTTTTTTATTTTTGAAAATGACTAAAGACCTAATTGAAGTTAATGTTTTGCATTGGCGGAGCCAAGGGGGGTCCAGGGCGTTCGACCCCACCCCACCTTTTGAAAATTCCTGGATCCGCCTATGCGCTGTCCTTTAGCTGTAATAATGACGACTGCACTCTAAACAAGAAACAACGTGCATCCTTAATCACCAAAATCTTAAAACACACAATAATATATATGTGTGAGCGTGTGGGGTGGGGCTGGGGTTGGGTATGGGGGGGGCTGGTGTGTGTGTGTGTGTGTGTGTGGGGTGTTATTGGTGTTAGCGTCTGTTGTAGTGTTGTAGTCATCAGAGGTCTGAGGTCATTTCTCTGTGCTGGACATAAAATATTTTCTAAAACAAATGATATTTTCATAAACATCCAAAGAGCAGACACAGAACACACATAAGCTAACGTCTATTCTCTGGAAGGAACAGATTTTACAGAAAAAAACAGTTCTCAAAATATCTTAACAAAACACAAAAAAGAAACCCCGTGTCTTTCTGCATTTTAAGGCCTGAAACTGCAAAAAACTAGACTTGCCCCATGTTATAGCCTAGCATGGGTTGTATTGGATACACTTGTTTCAGGGCCCTGAGCTGATAATGAGCATAAATTACCTGCCTGACTGTGCCAGGATCAACCTCCCTGCTGCATACTAATTTTAATCTGTAATACAATAATAATTCTTGTTAATATTATCATTTATTTTGTTCTGTTGCCAATAATGTATTTATTTTTGTTTGGTGATGTATTTTTTGTTCCACTTTAGTTTTTTGATATTTGCCTTCTCTATGTTCTAACAATAATAATTGTTGTTATTATTATCATTATTTTCTTTAATTCACGGCCTTTTTTTTACTAAAAATGTAGATTTTTAAGTGCATGTATTTTTTTCTCTCACTTTCATTATTTAATATTTGTGTTCGCTTTTCTAGTGCCCATGCATGTCCTTTTCATACAGAAAATATACTGAGTATTTACGATATAAAAACAGTTGTTGACAGCAAAGTGTTTTGATCAAGGTTTCTCAAAGGTCATGGTGACATACTGTCCGTCGGCTTTACCTGAAGACATGAGTTTTATACAGGCAATCTTTCAAGCGGTTAATTAAAGTGTAAAACAGGGTATTTTTAATAATTATAAAATAAACGCTTATTTGGTAGGGTAAAATGAATTGAACATTCGTGTAGCGACTTGTGTGTTGGTACTGTGCGAAATTTTGAACCCTCGGGATATAATGTGCCAAATATTACCATTTGCAATTCTTCTACAATGCACATTTACGCCAAATATGGTTTGCGAAGGCGACCTCGGCGAGCGTGAGTCACAAAACCATATATGGCGCTTGTGTTGCAATAATGGTATGCGATATGGATATTAGTCGACCAATCAGTGACGAGTAAGCTGACCTCGTGGTTTTAGGAGCACCGAAGGGACTCTTCGTCACATCGCAGCTAAGAAATCGCATAAAAGGTACGTTGTGACATTAGGAGATACTTTATATGGAATTTAGTTATTATTTTAAGGTTTTGTAGTCATTTAGAGAGAGACCGTGCGTGTCTTACCCCTTATAAATGCGACGTTTCGGCGTTGAGGTTTAATTTGCGTTCTCTCATTTTCGAACAGCCCTCCATCAACCTCACTTCTGCAGCTGAAATACAACCAAAGCTTAAAAATGGCGATGTCAGGAATTGCTGTGTCTCAAGACTGTGAAAAAGCTCACGAAAGGCAACACAAGAAGGAAAAGGACATACAGTGGACAGTGTATCGTATTGACCAGTCGGGGAAAAAGGCTGAGATTGTAGTTGAATGTCAGAAAGAGAGAGAGTTCTGTGCCAACAGGGCATCTCAACAGCAGACCGGCGACGTTGAAAAACGAAATAGGCAACTGTGGCTTGACTTTATCGACAGTTTACCCGATGCTGAAAGTCGATATGCTGTTTTCGATTTCGTACAACCAACATCATCTGGAGCTTTCAAAGACGCAATTCGCTTTGTTGCTTGGTAAGTAAATACGATCGAAGTTGGTCGACAAGCCGGAAGAGCCCTCACTCTTGTCAGCAAACGAGACACACTGGCCTGTCAAATACACCGCCAATCGATTATTTTTGAGAGAATTTGTTTATGGGTGTATCTTTCCCCAGGTTTTACCCCTGTTTTTCTCATCAGCTTGTTTTGAAATTATATTAAAAACCGGAAAGGGTCCAGAACATACCGGTGATTATATCACGTGCTTGTTGGATACACCCATTGCATGTAGCCCAGTGCTCTCAAAACTGTACCTGGCTCGTCTCGGGACTGATAACAAAGCTTATACGTTTTCCTCAACGTCAGGTCCACAAATTAAATGGGTTACGTTGGAATGTTATTTCTCGTAGAAAATATGCAGTTTAGCCTGCTGATATCACATTTCCTTTGTGTGTATAATTGAGGAAGTTGGTCAGTGGGCGTGTTCAGTCTGAATGAAATGAACAAGAGCGTAGACTAATAATGCATATGTAAAACTACTGCTGATTTGTGACATATATGTTTCTGTTTACACGTTCACAAAGCTAAGAAGATTTTAACCACTATTTTAAGTATTGAGAAATGTTAAGAAGGTTTCACTTGTGTGAACAATCTGAAGGAAGACATTGGTACATTTAGAGAAACTATCTGATACTTTATTTTCATTTGTAATGAAACAGGCGACTTCTTTTCAAATGAACGAAATAGTACACATGGTAGGTGAATATATGAACAAGTATTTGGGTCAACAGACAAAACATACATGCCCCATGAGAACTGATTCAAGTGGTGCTTTCAAGTCTAGCTTTAGTCTTCTTTGGAATTGTGCAACACTAAAAGATGTTTGTTATGTTACTCCTGAATAATCTGCTGGTTTCTGTGAAAGCTGTTTTTGTTTTAAGTTACTATTTAGTTGTTTTTTGTGTGTAATGGATGGCAATACTCTCAATATATGAGATTATTGTGAATGGATTGCTAGTAATGATGAAGATGCCAATTGATAAAGTATCCCAGAATTTATGAGAACATTCTCTGCCGTAGGTTACGTGTCACTGAGACAGGCAACCAGTTTGCAAGAATCTGTCAGATGCGAACTCAGATTGTTAGCCTGATGGCTAACCGACTAAGCTACGTCCACACTGTTGCACAATGTGCAAATTTATCTAGTCATTCGGAGGCGTTACGGAAATGAACAAAAATAGTCTAATATGTCACGGAGAATTACTAAGGTTATGGGTCTCGTGATTTGAATCTACAAACAATGGACGAATGGTCCCGATGCCATTTGGCACACTTGCCCCATTCCGTAATCTGCAAGATATCGTGAGGTGTGGAACGAGCCAATATTGTGCGAACTGAAAACAGCGGCTGTTGACGTAAGACGTCACAATCATGGTGTACATGAATGACATGCTATTAAAATAAATCATAGGTGATTTTGTGACAGAAAAGTGTTGTAGGGAACACTGTAAGGATAATGTGGATTACACTAATGAATGAGGGGGGCATGAGCATATCTGGTGATGCCATGAGTGTGAGTTATCCTTCGATTCATTGCTGAAGAAATGTAGGCTCAAAAATGTTGCGTGTGAAAATGGCTTAAGTGCAAGTTCCAGGATAATTTCCATTAGCCTAATTGTCAACATTAAACAAATTCTTTGTGTACTGTCAACATTATTTGGGTGAAAAGAAATTCCTACCTACCCTAAATCTTAAAGAGCTGTAATCGGAACCACAACATTTTTTTTATTTGGCCCAAGGAAAAACATCAACAAATGGTAACACAGGCATTACAACGGACATCTAAACCTACCATATTGGATTCTAGCCCTAACCCTAAACCTAAACCCTTGAAAATAATCCTAATAAATGAAATACATTGACCAAAGCGGCACGAAAATGGCTAACGTGTTATGCATTCTTACTGCTTCGAAATATATAATATAAATAACTCCATTCTTGATTAATGATGCAAATTACTGAATGAAAAAAATCTATATGTATATTAGTTCCCATTTATAATTCATTTAGTCCTTAAAAATATGTTGAAAGTGAAATATGAAATATATTTAAACTAAAAGTGCTTTCATAAACTGGTGCTTGCCATAAGTTGCAAATCCTCCATTAAACTCTCTACATTGTTGGACTTATTCAGTGCCATAGCCAGTAGACACGAAACATCCTAGACAAACTCGGTGCTACGCCAGCGTTATAGGGCATTGTTTCAAGAACATGGTTTGGACCAAAATCATATTAAATTACATAAAAGGGTATTATGATGGAATTTTAATGTTTGTAGTGCTGTATTCCAGGGATTGGGATAGAGAACTTTGATAATGGGCCATATTCATGATTATTAGCCATTTTCTGAATTTAGAATGGGCCACTGCCCTTATCAGTTAACTTCAAACTTTTACTGGGCCATTTTTTATTCTAATGTGCAAAATTGCCCATGGCCCCTGCCTTTCCAATCCCTGTATTCTAAAGGTAGGCCGAGTTTATTAATAAGAAATCTAGATATCTTGTAATGAGTGGCGGCTGAAGTGTTCTGTTCATCAATTTTTCATCTGTGATTACAAGTAGTTCAGAAACCCTTGTTACAGCATGTTAGGTGACGTGTGCAAACAGTTCTTTATCTGTCTTTGGACATTCAGATATGTCTTTGGATATTTTATCATTAATTGGTCATGATTCAGTATCTGTGTGGGAGGACTTTGAATTATGTCAGTCATTGGCTACAGAAATCTTTGAATTATATAACAATCCAAAAGGCCTATACCTTTTAGATAGCCTCTTGAGGACCTAACTTTCACCAACAAGGGCTGTCTGTCTTCTATTGCTAAAGTACCATCCTCCTGTCAAAAGTGTCATTTAAAATCAATACGTAACATAGTGAAGAATATATTTAGTTTATCACTAGTTTTGCAGTCCATTTGGTCATGAGTAAGGACCTATGACTAGTCAATAGAACCTTTTTCGTGTCTACAGAATCGACATAATTTACACACTATCATGGTGTTTGACATATATAGATAAATATACCCATGAAAACAAAAAAGGGAACACATGAAAGTACGAGTGTTCCTTTATTTCCAGAATTTCACTCACAGTGCAATACATACCTTGTGAAGAAACTTCGAAAAGAATAAAGGAACACTTGTACTTTCATGTGTTCCCATATTCGTTTCCATGAGTATATACAGTGTTTGCCCTAGACATAAAGACATAAAAAAAATTAGGAGTCATCATGACACCCTGGTGAGAGGGAGTCATGGTCATGTTTTTGGAAGTCAAATAAGCAGGTTTTCTGCATCCATGCATAAAAATTAATGAGTCATGACTCCTTGTGTCATGAGGAGTCATGGACATGTTTCTGCGTCATGGCAAACGCTGATATATCTCCACTGTTTTTGCGTGTGTGTAGGCAAAGAACATAGCATCTGTCTCAGTCAGTGTATGTTATGTTTGCATCTAGTATGTGCATGTATCAGTGTAAAGTATCAATTTATGGACATTTATTTGCATGTCAGCTTCAGTCCGTATGTGATAGTTTCAATATTTATCTAGATCATATGTATTGCTTACAACATGTTGCCAACATTTATGCATTTCAACACACACGCAGGTACACACGTCCACTATATTTGCAAGAATGTAAAAGCTCAATTCAGGTTTGATATTGTCTGATTTTAGTCCAGTGAAAGACCCCAGTGGCAAAATTGGGTGCATATAAACAGAGTAAGAGTTCAAACACCTGGCCGAGGGATATAAAATATTTTGGAGATAGACATTGTCCATAGTTATATGAAATAAACCCATCTAGTTGAATGTCACCGATGTTCCTCTGAGCATTAACATTTGCGCCAATGTACCATATTTTAAGAATTCTGGAAGGCTGCTGCCTCAGTAGACCTGCAGCGTTCATTCCAGCTTTTCTAAAAGGTTAATGTGGATCATTCAGAAAATATTGTGGGTCATGTCAAATTGCTGTGGCTTATTAGCCATATACTATTACTTATCTGACAGTGACTTGTATATATTTGTTGTCAGATTATGTTTTGGTTAATGGCATGTTTTTCAGTTCTTGTTTACAAATGGTTAAGTGTCTGAAAGCCAACAACATGAGGGTACCTGTAATGTTGGTTCAGAATTCGCAACCTGAGCTTACCATACCCTGTAAAGATTATCTAGTGGGTAATGCACTTCACTTAAAATATGTTGCTTGGTTGAATGATAGCAATCCTAATCCAGATCGTCTCAGGTCAAACTAGGTCAGAAAGATGTACCTCTAGAACAAATTTATTCACAGGAACTCAGAGGCCCAGATAAACTGCATATTTGGGTAAAATATGCACAGAAAATTTCCAATTACACATTGAAAAATAATTGTTGCGTACCAATTCCGCATTTAAGATGTTAGATAAGCACAAAGTTTAAAACATATGCGTACGGAATATATCTAAAAAAATCACTTGCGTAATGAAAAAGACATCGATTAGTATCAAGTTGTATTGTTAGTATAGGACTAGTGTTGTACTGTCAGTACAGGATGAGTGATTTTTTATGAAATCATTTCCATTATATTTAAGTTGGTTTTGCTTCAGTATGACATAAGGCAGTACATACTTAACAAACTTACTCAATGACATATACTTAGGTGAGTAAAATCACTGAAATACCCACATATTTGAAAGCAGTGGGTAACGGAAAATGAAATACCCACTCAAAATTCATAATACCCACTACTTCAATAATTTTGCAAATCATACTGCAGTATGCACTAAGTACATTCTTAAACCTTGTTTCATACTTATATCTCTTTGGAGCTTTGCATTCACATTATGCAAGTGTTGAACTGATGATCTTGATGTTTTAATTGGGGTGGGGCTGACGTCAAACATTTAATTATTTCCCTTAAAGTATTAAGATGGTAAGGAAATACTGAAAAGTGTGGTCCATGACAAATGTTAAGTATATTTCACATTGACAGGGAGGAAGCACTGTCTTAATGAAGTAATATAGTATTTTAGAATGGGTTGATGGATGTCTAACAGTCTATATTCCTGTTGCAGGTCTCCAGATAATGGTTCAATAAAAAACAAGATGATCTACTCCTCAACCAAGGATACCCTCAAGAAAAAGCTTGATGTCCAAAAAGAGGTCTTCATCTCCTCAAAGAGCCAGGAAGAAATCGAAGACTCTTTCAAACAGTTGTTGAATTGATTGGCTATTGTTACTCAAGAGCTTAAGTGTCTAATGCCTGGCAACTAAGGAACAGTTTCCTGCAAGCTGTACAGTGAAACGATGACATAAGTTTTTTTGCACCTGATCATAAACTTATTGCTGATTATTTTGTTTCACAACGCCAAAGAACATTGACTTTTATAATGAATTACCAAAATACTTAACCTTAATCAACACTTCCAGAACAGAAAACTGATTTGAAATGTATTCACTTTTGTATATTGTAAACAAATACTCTCTAAATGACTTGTCAGAACAAATTGTCTGAAGTTATCTTCAATCATGTTGGAATGAATATCATGTTAGAAGAAACATTTTGATGCAAGTAATAAATATTTCTATGAAAGCTTTAAATGTCAAATCTCTTTAAATTTTACTTGAATCTTCCAAAGATGAAGGTTTCTGGCCATTTTCAAGTTGTCTACAGGCGAAATTTGTGGCGCACAAACGTGAGAATGCTTCAGTAGATGTATTTGGTTTCCTGAGGTCTTCATTGGAGTGTGTCTGGTCACTTGGATACCCCAGCTGGTGAGACTTTTGAATTGGAGAGAGGATTAACAATGACATGTTGTGAAACAAAACAAGATGTTTTGTCCAGATAAGGAGCTTGTGTTTTCTCTTCCATGTGCTCACTACACTTATCATAAAACACACAAATTTTGTATCCTAGAGGTTAATGCTTGTTTTAATCAGGGATGGCTAAAAGGATCGGTAATCGGAAATATCGTTGCTAGGAAAAGTTATGAATGATTATCAGTATGAAAATTGTTATCAATAATATCGTACATGAACTTTTGAGATAGAAAAAAGTTTTACTTTTCTCGCACAATATGCAAATTCATGGTCTGCTTCTATTTAATGTTCAGGACGCTGTTTCGTTATATTCCATGCATAAACATGTCACTACTCACCACTGATGTGAAATAGATTGATATCTTTCAGATATTTTTGCTCAAGGTAAAGTCTCCAATATTTATCGTTAAACGGTTGATATAAAGTTGAAGATTATTGACTATCGATCTTTATGATCTATATCAATAGCCAGCCTTATGTTTCAATGGAACAAAATGAACATTTGTATTAGGCAAATTAGCTGGAGAGAACTTAAACATTTCCGTAAATCCTCAGAAAACTTTGCAGACATTGAAAAAAGGTGCTTCAGAGATAGGGGTCCAATACATTGTTAAATCATAAATGGGTATTATTCTAAGATATTTTCTTGTCTGGAAAGGTTAAGGTTTGAGAATCGCATTGGTCTGCTGTGTGGGAACAGATACCTTAAAGAATTACTTCTTTTTTTATCCTCCAGAATCAAGTTGTTACATAAACCACAAGTTCAAAATGTGTCAGGAGCTTCAGGTGCCCGAGTTACCAGTGTGTAGTGCTGAGTTGCAATTCTTATTCATGGTCTTGGGGTGGTTTGGTAGCCTAGTGGTCAAAGCTTTGCTCGTGATGCTGAAGGCCCTGGTTCCAGTGTTCCGGGTTCCCACACCTGAAGCCCATTTCTGATTTTGCGGGAGTATTGCTAAATGCAGCTTAAAACTATATTCACTCACTCTTCATGGTCTCTCCAAAGTGGAATGCTGTATCACTTTTGCTGTTGATGCCATCAGGTTACAAACTCTGCCACTACTGAGATAAAGTACAGAGTGGTATTAAATCAAACATTCTTGCTCAATCATGACCACTGTTGGGTTTGAAAGGGTTTGGTTAATGCAATACCTGAAGGTATGAAAGATACCAAACAACTTTCAGTGTAATACCTTTTTTATTAAACAAGTTCTTGAACTCTTTTGCTTCTTTGATACCAAATCTATCACTAGTTTAATAAAAATGGTATTTCACAGAAGCCAGTTTAGTATTCTGTTTATTACTCTCAAACATAAATTGATAGTAACTGCCTACAGTGTGAGATTCTTGAGAGGCATTTAGAAGTTTGTGAATATATAAGACAAGTATATGGATGGCAACTTGTTGTTTATTGTATATCACAACGTTTCTGGGCTACTACTTGTTTATTGTATATCACAACGTTTCTGGGCTACTTCTTGCCCCTTACCAGATTTACAGATATGTACATGTATATGCAATCAACCCCAGAGAATCGATCAAAAGCAGTTATAAAAACAATGATAATTGAATAAGGTAAAGCCAGTTTGATACAAATAATGAGGATAAAGAGATGTACGGCTAATTAAGTGACAATTAGATTTACAGGATGCCAGAGATGTAAAAAACAATCCTTTAATTCTGGTATATATAGTTTGCTTTCAACATCTGTCTTTAATCACCTGAGGAAGGGTCAAGAAGTAGCCCAGAAACGTGATATACAATAACAGTGTAGGAAAGATAGCCCGTCCCAACGTCCGAGACGGGTGAATTTTGTGGAGGACGGGTTAAAAAAATATCTAGTCCGTCCTCATGTTGGGTCAATTTTAGCAAACCAATGACATATATATAATGATTATAACCTTTTTGAATATTTACTGCCGAAGGTGTTTTATTTATATTTGGAGGACAGGCTAGATTTTGGCAGGACTGGTAAAAAATTTGACCTGCCAGTCCTGTGGACAGACTAGATTTTCTACATCTTTCCTACACTGACAATAATCAAGAAGTTGCCATCCATATACTTGTGTAATGCCTCTACAGTGTGATGACTCCGCTTTCTGCGAGTCATGCAAGGTCTAATACCATTGTGACCCAGGTATTTGCATTGTGACGTCATAACTAAACTATTATGACATAAGTCAAGCAGTATTCCACTAGTGTCATAAAATATTACACTGCAGTATCTTCCACGGGCAAGTAATAAACACGAATATTACGTGAATACAAGTTTCCCGACATCTTAAAAACAGTTCATCATTCATGTGAAAAAATATTGATTGGCATACAGGAGTAAATTTTATGAAATCTATCCAACCACTTCACTCTTTACTTTGCACCACCAGTGTAAATGTTTGAAGTATTCAGGAGATGAGTGAAATTCTTGAGCTCCTTTATTAATTAATGTGTAATAATACCTCAGTTCTGTCATTAATCCTCAAAACAAGCTGGCACTCACTGGGTGGAGGTTATCCAGAACAGTTTCCAAGAAAGAACAAAATATCAGATGCATGAATAGAATGATTTAATAAATCAAACACACCACGTGCAATTACAACAGTGCAATACAAACAAATGTGCGACTTTTTTTAAAATTACTTGGCAAGACTGTTGCTTGAGAATATGGCCAGTGAGACTTTTGTGTTATCTTCCAATGGCTTATCTAAGAGTGAATTGATGACCAATCTTATCACAACATGTGTCATTGCATAACTTGATTAAGCATTGATGAATACTGGGTGAAACCCCACTTTTTTAATATCACTAAATGCAATAGAAATTGATCCTAAAACTTATGTGCGACAAATAAGCAGAACGTGATATCACAATGTGGCTTACAAGTCAATTTGCAAGATAGTGAGATTTCAAAAATGTCCATGAAAATTCCACATGGATTTCAAGAATGTTTTTGTTATCTAATCTGGCTGTACAGGATGACTTTGACCAAGACCAGTTGAGATCTTGGAACGAATATGAAAATTGGACTGTTGATCAATGAAATAGTGAGTGAGTGAGTTTAGTTTTACGCCACACTCGGCAATATTCCAGCTGTGTGGCGGCGGTTTGTCAATAATCGAGTCTGGACCAGACAATCCAGTGATCAAGAGCATGAGCATCGATCTGCGAAACTGATGATCAAGAAAATAACCCGAAGCAGCGGCTTCGCAATGAGAGCTGCATTAACACCTTCACCAGTTCAAGAACTGGTCATCAGCTTAAGACAGTGCTCACTTAATCTCTGTCCCAAGGGGGACAATGAAAGTGAATGTTACGTTTAGTCTGTCAGTAATAATCATGTAATGTTGAATGAACAAGGAATACCATTTGATCAACCAGACCACCATAACATCATCTTTTGGGAAATCCCAGAGATGAACATTTTTCACAGATTCTCATTATTCATATTGTCCAGGGTCACCTTTTCTGCGAATACACAATATAAATATATATCACGAAGTCCGCAGGATCCTAGCTCAGAATTGCTACCAATGTCTTTTAATACAAGTCAACTCGGGGATAGGTTGGTCAGGCACTTTGACGTAGTTGTTTCCATGTGGCTATACCCTCATGCCACGGAATGTCGTCTTAGCCAGATCATGTGGCAGGAGTTAGCTCAGTGTGACTGTACAACTGTACGACTGTACAGTTTGGTTTTACGCCACTTTTAGAAATATTCCAGCAACATCACGGCGGGGGACACCAGAAATGGGCTTCACACATTGTACCCATGTGGGGATTCGAACCCGGGTCTTCGGCGTGACGAGCCAACGCTTTAACCCTTAGGCTACCCCACCGCCCGTGACTGTACAAGCAAGTGGGTGGCATATTGTGACGTTTAGGTTACTGGGCTCCAGTCAGGACCCAGAACAAAAACAGGGATATGGGAAACCAAGACATTCCACCTTGTATCAGTTTATGGTGCCCTGTGTTCCTGTACCAAGGGTGCTCAATAAGCATGTTCTTCAAAATTAAACAAATATGGTGACATGTTCAGTTGAAAACTAGAATAAAAAAGAAATGTAATATCTATAGTGCTGAGCATGTCCTTTGCTCTGATGTCACATTTGTTCTGTACATATTGTACATTTAAGTATACAATAGATTCTATCCCAAATGCCTCACCTCTTATTTCATTGTACTTATGTACTAACAGATGAGAAATGTGTTTTCCCTTCACTCCTAACGTGATGAAACTCATTGTAGACATGTTTTTAGTGCATACAGTCATTCTTTCATGAATCAAATCCATCCCCAACCAAAGAATTATGCTTGTATAAATTATATCAATTGACTTACAAATATGTAATCCTTATATAAATCACATCTATGACCTACCAGTCGCTACAGAGTCCCGGTACCAGTCATGTTTACATGGATCACATCCTTCCTCTACAAAACAAATATTTTTCTATAAATCACATCTACTGAATCAAATGGCCATATGAACCACATCCACTGACAACCAAACAAGTCTTGCTTACATGAATCACATCCACTGACAACCAAACAAGTCTTGCTTACATGAATCACATCCACTGACAACCAAACAAGTCTTGCTTACATGAATCACATCCATTGACAACCAAACAAGTCTTGCTTACATGAATCACATCCATTGACAACCAAACAAGTCTTGCTTACATCATCACGATATGGCTGAAATATTGCCGATGTGACGTTAAATAATAATAATAATAATAATAATAACTCACTGCTTACATGAATCACATCCATTGACAACCAAA